AGAGAGAGAGAGAGAGAGAGAGGTCTGGCAACAGAGAGTCAGATAAACAGACAGAGGGACAGACAGATAGACAAGCAGATAAATAGAGATAGAAAGAAACAACGTGACAGAGAGAAATAGAGAGATACGGAGAGAAATGGGCAGCGTTGAAATAAAGATAGAGAAAGAGAGAAAAGGAGAGAGAGATGGTCAGAGGAAGCTGGAAAAGATAGCAACTGTGTGTGAAAAGAGAAGAGAAGCGAAGGACGAAAAGGAAAGGGAAAGGACGGGGGTAATCTTAGCATCTTGTACCAGAATAAAAACGCTTTTTGGCTTGTCTTCAAAAGTAGCAAAACGAGCTATGAAATTTGCACATCAGTTTTAAATGCATGAAAATCAGTCTTGCTCGCTACTTGACCGAAACTTTACATTGAATGCCAAAGTTAGAGTGCAATAACTAATCAACTAGCATCTAGCTTTACACAATCCTCACTGGTGAATGCTGTAGAATCTGTACCCAATGCTTCTATTCAACTCGTTCCGCTGATATCGTCTGATTTGTTTTGTTCGGGGTTTTTTTGTCCCTTCTTTATCCGCCATCCTACCCCAAACTTTCCTCCAATCGGACTTTCGATGCCATCTACAAAAGCAAACTTCTCTAATTCTCGAATTACTCCTCGTCTTTGGGCTACACTGGTAAGAAAGAAATATCACTTCATTTTGGAAAAAAACACCCAACAACATCAAAGAATCACCTTGCCAAAAGGACAGCATACTTAAACGACCTAAACCATCAATAATATTTCCCTCAAAAAGTTACCCGAAGATCGCCTTATTTTTGCATCGGTTGAAACTTTTTGCATTCTTACATATTTTCAATTACATGAATAAATATGATTTCGCATAGGCCTACACATATTTCACTCAGATGAGTAACTAATTCTGTCAAGGAAAGGCTACGTCTATTAAAACAGAATTAAGGCGTTATTCAGATTGTTTCAACACTGCGAAGTTTGATATAGAGCTCACAACAAGAGAAAGATTTACAGACTCATTGTTAATATGGCTTCAGCTACTTTTGCAAGTAAGCCTTCTAATTTCAAATGCTGTTGTTGATTTCTGTATTTATTGAACAATGTAAAACGCATGGGGCATGCTGCAGAACATGGATATGCGCTATAATAAGCGATTACAATTTATTATTATTATTATTTATTATTATTATTATTATTATTATTATTATTATTATTGTCACTCTTACAAATAAGTACAAAAGCACAATATTAATTTCAGAGATTTGAGCAAATACGGAGCACCAAAATCCGTACTTTGATATAATTATACATCTATAAGCACATAATAATATGTCTAGGCATTAGACGATCGAACTCATAAGATTTATTCTCGTCTTGATGTTTTCAGAAGTAACTCTCTTCACCTAAACATTGCAGTAGCGCTTCGAAACAGAACTTACCTTAAATGGTTCCTTTTTATCAAATAGATAACTTTTCTATTAGAGAATAAAATTATATTTATTGTTTCCAATGGCAATCACGATCCTCTTTCTTTTCAGCAAAATAAAGACGTAACAGAAAATCTTTTGACGGCGCTCACAACTACATAAGGGCATGTGAGCGCGCAGGACACATTAAACCTTTTCAGTTTAGTTGGAATTTTGA